ACAATGGAATATTACTCAGCCATAAAAAGGAACACATCTGAGTCAGTTTTGATGAGGCAGATGAAGCTACAACCTATTATACAGAGTGAAATGAGTCAGAAAGAAAGATATAAATATCATATTCTAATGCGTATATACAGAATCTGGAAGAATGGTACTGAAGAATTGATTCACAGGTCAGCAATGGAGAAACAAACATAAAGAATAGATATGGACATGGGGAGAGGGTAGGAGGGGGTGAGATGTATGGAAGAGTAACATGGAAACTTACATTACCATATGTAAAATAAGATAGCCAACAGGAATTTGCTGTATGGCTCAGGAAACTCAAATGGGTGCTCTGTATTTGTATCAGTCTAGAGGGGTGGGATGTGGTGGGAAATGGGAGGAAGGTTCAAAAGGGAGGGGATATATGTATACCTATGGCTGATTCATTGTTGAGGTTTGACAGAAAACAATAAAATTCTGCAAAGCAATTACCTTCAATTAAAAAAATAAAAAACTGAAGACAAACCCAACCAATGTAGCCAATTTTCAGGGAAAAGAAAAGGTAGCTTTAGGAAATTAAGCTTCAGATTTTACAGAAATGTATTATAGAGCACAAAAATTGTATCTAGTGACTTTAGAAAAAAAAATTATGACCCTCATATTCTGTAGCTAAACACATTTTTATTTATATACAAAGGTACATTCTCTGACCTTTAATGTATTGAAAAATATGCTACACATTTATCTTTGTAAAATTATTTAATGATGCATCCCAAATACTTGAGAGAGAAATTTTAAAATAACTCAGGAATAAGGAAGTAAAGATTAAAATGAATGAATGGTGAAATGGAAACCCATCTTTAGAGAGACTCGATGGGATAATCTTCCCAGTTACTAACGGGAGAAAACTTGCGGCTCATTATTTAATCATATGTCATTGTATATCATTTGAATGTTAAGTTTGTTTAATTTATAAATTAAAACATTTTTAAATAAAAATTATTTTTAACTAAAAATGTAAATTGCTATTTCTGTAGATATTAAAATAGGCTTCAGGAAAGAGATAAAGGGTATACTGAAGAAGTACTGAATCATTTATCTACAAATAAGTATCTTAAAATTATCATTTTTACGTACTTAGATAAAATGTTTGTGAACTGCTCTAATGTAACTATTAGTAGATTAGAATAATGTATCTTGCAAAAGATAAAAGTAAAAGAGGACATAGAGAAATACTAAGGATATCTAAAAATAGCAAAACTAAGGTGACAGAAATTTGACTAAATGTAATAAATATTAATATAATAATAAATGGAAATGGCATTATCTCATGTAGAGAGCTTTGTTAAGGATTTAAAGCAAAATCCATTAATTTCTTTATATAAAAGAAATTTAGGTAAAGTAAAATGGCATAGTAATATTGAATATAAAAGGTTGGGAGTTTCAATATTAAAATTAAAAAAATAAATCTAAGACTGAAGTAATTATGAAAAAAAAGTCACTTTATATTGATACATGATTAATAAATAATGAAAGGTACAACTTTTTATGCTGAGAAGTTTTAATAATTCTTTTAACTTCAGTATGCCCTTTAAAAAAATACTTTTCTCATTTATAATATTACCTTTAACCAGTTAACAATAATTTTTAAATATTTTCTAGCATTCAGTCCATATTCTGATTTCTCCAGTTCTGAAAATATCTCATACGTTTATACAGTACATCAAGTTATATCTCTTAAGTCTCTTTTACTTTAGAATCATTCTTTTTTTTTCCATTGTACTCCCTTATTAAAGAGACTGGGTCAGTTATCCTGAAGAATATCTCACCTTACAAATAACATTTAGACAGGTTTTAGAAATATCTAATAAGAGAATCCTACACTTCCCTGGTAGCTCAGATGGTAAAGCGTCTGCCTACAATGCGGGAGACCTGGGTTCAGTCCTTGGGTTGGGAAGATCCTCTGGAGAAGGAAATGGCAACCCACTCCAGTACTCTTGCCTGGAAAATCCCATGGATGGAGGAGCGTGGTAGGCTATAGTCCATGGGGTCGCAAAGAGTTGGACATGACTGAGCGACATCACTATGGAAAGAGAATCCTAAAGAAAGAAAGAAAAACACAAGCAAAAACATTACTCTTTATTGATATGTGAAATTGTCTGTATTTGATATATTAAATTTATAAATTATTTATTTCAGAAGAGCCCATCACCTATCTTTAGTTATGGTCTAGAAAGTCTCTTGTTCAAATCAAGAATTTAAAAGGATATAAACCATTTGAAAGCAGAGATCCACAACTGTATTTTTCAGATTACCAAAATTGCACTTCTTTTTATAGTCTTTTTCTTTCTTTATATCCCTTAATTAGTTTTCTTAAAAATAGCAAAATGTCATCAGAGGAGCCATGGAATAGGAATTAGAGAACTTTTCTTGTTGTCCGTATTAATTAGCTGAATGACATTGGCAGTTTCTATCACTCTAGTGCTTTCTTTATCAAAAATGTGGAGGTTTTTCTAGGTGATTTCAAAGTCCTTTTCCATTTCTAGCTTGCTATACTTTTAATCTTTTTTCATAAATAGACACTCAGCTCTAACCTCTGTTTATATGTAAACTTAAAAAAATACATGGACAATATAATGTGTTAAATTCTTATTTTATGAGAAATATGCAGATACAAAATCAGATTGCAGTGCTCCAAAAATTAAGCCAAAAAGTATAGAGGCTTGACTAAACCTTATTCCAAATGCTTAGAATGTCTGTATATTTTCACCTCAGTATACTGTAGTTAAATAATAATTGATTTAGATATATTTGTTCTTTGAGTCCTCAAAGTAATCCTATGAAAGTACTGGTGTAGAATTTTCTTTGCGGAGACATAGAAAGTGGAATTCAGCTTAAGTAGGCCAGCTGTGTATTTGAGTATTTGAGAAGCCATAACCAGACTGAAGCTGCACAGACCTAGGTTCAAATTCTGGCTCTGAAACTTTAGTAGTCATACTCTCTTAGGGAAGTTAATTTCTTTTAAGCCTCTTCTGTGTGTGGGGATCATAAAATAATACCGACTGTATAGTGTTGTATTATAAATGAACTATGTAAGTAAACTCCTTAATGCTATAATTGGCCCATGGGTACATGATAAATAATAACTCCTACTTGATGATTTGCTCCAAATCAGCCATCTAGTGAATCAGTGCCTGTCTAGTGATGTTTTAAGTAAAAGTCTGACTAAAGTGACTTGAAAGTAAGAATTTTTATAAATTTAAATAACAAGAAAGTGTATTGGCCCATCTGTTTTCATGGTTTCTTAATTGGTCATATGGGTAATGGTAACGTTCTCGCATGACTTTTCTGAAATCCTCTTGGATTCTTGCGTGTCCTTTCATGGTCACAAGATGTTTGTGGTAACTCTGTGTCACATACTCACGTGTGGTCCCCAAAGATAGGAAAAGCACCTGTTTTTCTTTAGCATATCCATTTTAAAAATTAAGAACACTTTCTTAGAAATAACCCAGAAGTGCCTCATGTTTTTTGGCTAGATTTGGGTTCTTTCTCCCTTAAGCATTGAGGAGTAGGATTAATCGGATTGGTTCAGACTAATCAAAATCTATCATTGAGTCAAGAGAGGATACATACTTCCTGAAATACAGGACCACATAGAAGGTGAGCCTCTGAAAGAATCTGTCAGCAATAAAGAACACAGATGGAGAGGGAATGATATGATTAGCTGTTGTCTGTCTATTGAAATGTCCCTAAAAGCTACATTTTCCGAATTATGGAAAATTCAAATATTTGCCAGTTATTGTCCTATGTATGTTAGTTAGCACATAGGCTGCAGAAAGGAAATTGTTTCTGGAATTGCAGTAGTCAAGATAAAATAAGTAATGTTTTATCTTTTCTCTGCTTTCATACCTCCCATACCTCCCATACCTCCCATATATGTTAAAAGTTAAGTTCTGTTGAATTCCAAGAGATCTAAGCTGACCTGCTTATATATTAAATTTCATTTCAATGACTGTCCCATGTTTTGGAGTGGAAAATATGTACATACTACAAAGAATAGGAGACATGTCTGTACTACAGAGATTTTTCTTCTGACTAGATTTTGATTGTGGAAATTGTAGTGATTTGATTGCAATTAAGAAAAAATTTGAATATTGGTAAGTATTTTAAAAGTAGAAATGTCATTTTAGCTTGATGAAATAATCAAGAATTTGTTATAGAGGTTTTGCTATAAAAGAGTATATTTACCTCCAGTGAGGTTTGATGAATAATACAGCTGTATTCCAGCTTCACACTAAGGAGAAATTCTCATTATCAGTTTTTTCATTTTTTAAAAAAGCTTGATGTTTATTTGAGAGACCATAGTTTACACAATAGGCATGTTGCTTTGTGTTGTGTAAATAATTGAATGAGTATTTTCTGAGTGAAGTTATAAGAAGAGAATTTATTTACGAACTGAGATGGTCAGATGGATTTTGTCAAAGGACAGAAATCCTATAAAATATTACAGTCCAATAAAGTTAACATATCTATAAAGAGGCTTTTAAATGCACTGCACGAGTGAAGAGACAACTTTTCTGGAGGACTGGTGATATTTAATATCTGAGTCCCATCAAAAATGAGTTTAAGAGACTGGGTGCAGTGATTGTAGTACCATTTTAGGGAAATATTTAGTTTTGCAATTATATTCTTTATATGCTTATATATTGCTATATATATTCTATATCTGTATACAGGTATATTTATATACATAAAACCATAGGTAGTATGTTTCATGGTATGAGATTGCCTAGGGTAGTTTTGACTATTTAAAATTTTGCCTTGGTGGGTGAATCTAAAACCTAGTCTATGGATAAGATGGGAGACTACTGAGTAGATTTTGGTTTTTTCTTTTATTTTAACCTCCTAAGAGAGACCCTAATTGCTTTGTTTGTATGTATAAGTGTATATGTAAAATTACACTAATTTTACATATACAAATTTTTAATGTAAAAATTTGTGTTTTTGTTTAGGCAACTCAGTGTAACTGCCATCAAAAATCTAAAGAGGAAAAATGTACATATGCTGATAAATATACCCAAACACCCTGGAGAAGAATTCCTGTAAGTAACACATGCTCTTATCCTCTTTTCTTGTCATTTTCTATTTTGATGTTTTGTTCTGCTTTTTTACTCTAATAATTTTGCATCTGCCATGACTGTCAAAATTTTTTTTTTAAGGTAAGTGGACTTTTGTCTCCCAGTTGTTTCTGTGCTTTCTAAAGTTTCTATTCTGTGTCTTATATGAATGAATGTGCTTTAATAGCTTTTCCATTCTGCATACTGTAGGTCATTTTATTTGAGTGTCTAGTCTCCCTCTCATTGCATGTATTCATGAGAGTGGTGTTTCCCCATGCCTACAAGAAAAAGAAGTCCAAAATATAGTCTTCCCTCTTCAATGGCATATGACTCTGAAAATACATTATGCAGCATATTCTTTTTATTTGTTGAGATTTTTCAAATACATTCTCTTATTATGATTACCCAAATGTTGAGGCTGTTAGGAAGCATAAATGCATTAAGATATAGACAGTAAAGGTTATGTTTTAGACATAGAGTAAGGAATAGTTTCTTCTAAATGGTAGAAAATAACCATGCATTCTGTGCTTCTTCATTGTTTTTCAAAAATATTACATTTCAAAACATATTAAGTGCTAAAATACACTTTCTGAAGTCAGTTCAGGATATGCCTGAGCCAGAGAGCCACCATGGCTATCAGTCATTATTATCCTATGGTATGGTGCCAAGTAATAAGTACTTCTTGGTAAGAGAATGCCTGATAAGCCAGCCTTGACCCTTCTTTTGCCTTATATTAATCTGTGGAATCCTAGTAACACAAATGAACAGGGAATTATAATGTTTAATTAATCAACAGTCTGATTTTTTTAAACTTAGTTATCGGCCTTTAAAGTTTATAAAATACTTATTTCTTTTCATTTAATAAGTCGTTACTTTTGTGTGCTCTGGATAAAGTGCGATGCTAATAACTTCAGCAAAGGTTTGCTGAGCCCTTCCTGTCTCAGTTATTAGCCTCTTGAAGTGTGGAATTGGGGAAGAAGACACACAGACAAATAGAGATTCTTCCATTAAAGTACTTATTAAAGGAACTGGCAAGATGATATAATTAAACTGTAGAAATTGCTGTTAGGTTCAAAGGATTGGGAAAGTCTAGAAAAAAGAATTGAACTTAGTGAAAAGAGTAAATGTGGTGGTTGAACCATAGAAAGCAAAGCTGTCAGTAGATCGAGGTGAGTTCTAGAGTTGAGAATGAGACGCTCTTCTCCATTAGCACTCTTCCATAGAATTTCCTTGCTGTCTAGTGCAGTTGCCTCTAGCTGAATGTGACTGTTGAATACTTGAAAATGTGGCTAGTGTGACTGCAGAAGAGGATTTTAAGAAATACTCAGTTGTAATTAATTTAAATAGCCACATATGGCTAGTAGATATTGGACAGAACATCTCTAGAGTTAATGATGAAGTAGACCTAGATGTATGTGGGAAACCTGTGATGTGTGTCGTTGCTCAGTTGTGTCCGACTCGTTGCGACACCATGGACTGTAGCCTTCTAGGCTCCTCTGTCCGTGGGGATTCTCCAGGCAAGAATACTGGAGTGGGTTGCCTGGAGCAATAAGTAACAGGGAAGTCAGTGAAGGCAATTTTGGTTAAGAAATGAAGGACAATTAAAAAAAATGGAGTTTATATTTAGGTAGTGGAAAAAAAAAGAGAAAGAGCTAAGAATGAGTTGTAGGTGAAGATGGTACCTTCAGAAGAAGAGTGGATAAGTCAGTTTCTGACCAAATGTTCTCATCTGAAGGATGGAATACTCAGATAAAATGGTGAAATGGATAATGTGGCGAGAAGAATAAAAACATGAAAGGTACCTAATCATTCACACAAAAATACTTGGAAGACTAGGCATATGCAGGAAAATGGTGATTTTGTGAGAAAGAAGGATTCACTTTAGACATAAAAACTTAATGAAACTTACTTTTAAATATTACTGTCCGGGTGCAAGCATGTTTTTATAAATAGCATTCTCTTGGACTGAATTATAAGTTTTTTAAAATGTATTTTCAATGTCATTTTGTAAATGCTACTCTATTTATTTATGACTGCACTGGGTCTTTGTTGCTGCAGGCAAGCTTTCTTTAGTTGTGGTGAGTGAGGGCTGCTCTCTGGTTGCAGTATGTGGCCTTCTCATTGTGGTAGCTTCTCCTGTTGCGGAGCATGGGTTCTGAAGCTTGGTCTCAGTAGTTGTGGCCCATGGGCTTAGTTGCCCTGAGGCATGTGAAATATTCCCAGACTAGGAATTGAACCCATGCCACCTGCATTGGCAGGCGGATTCTTAACCACTGGACCAACAGGGAAGTCCTACAGTATCATCTTAAAAGCATGTAGCATCAGTATTTGAAGATTCTAAGTTAGTTTGCACATTAAGTAAATTCTAAATTTTCATGATATATACTTTTATAAAGTATTTGTTCAAACATCTTAACTATAGAAGCCACAATAGCAGAATGCATTTCTAGACTTACACATCAGAACTTAATATTTTGCCCTTTAATCTCAAAGAAGGGATTGCAAGATGGGACCCAAAGGATTCACATAATGACCCAACCTGGATTACTCTGAAAATTGAGTGTAGTGTTTTATCAGTATCAGTGGTAAAGCTGCCTATCAGTTAAAACTTAGATTATGCACAGTTTGACCTGATACTAGTTTCTCTCATATTTTAAGAATTCTTATTAAAAAAAAGTTAGGCTTAAACAGTACGTGAACCAAGAACTTCCAGATGTACAAGCTGGATTTAGAAAAGGCAGAGGAATCAGAGATCAAATTGGCAACATCCATTGGGTCATAGAAAAAGCAAGAGAATTACAGAAAGATACCTACTTCTGCTTCGTTGATTACACTTAAGCCTTTGACTGTGTGGATCACAACAAACTGTAACATTCTTCAAGACATGGAATACTGGACCGCCTTACCTTCCTTCTAAGAAACCTGTATGTAGGTTAAGAAGCAATAGTTAGAACCAGACATGGAGCAACAGACTGGTTCAGAATTGGAAAAGGAGTACGTCAAGGCTGTGTATCGTCACCCTGCTTATTCAACTTAATATGCAGAGTATATCATGTGAAATGCTGGGTTGGATGAAGCACAAGCTGGATGCAAGACTGCCGGGGGAAATATCAATAACCTCAGATACACAGATGACACCACTCTTATTGCAGAAAACGAAGAGGAACTAAAGGACCTCTTGATGAAGGTGAAAGAGGAGAGGGAAAAAGTTGGCTTAAAGCTTAACATTCAAAAAACTGAGATCATGGCGTCTGGTCCCATCACTTCATGGCAAGTAGATGGGGAAACAATGGACACAGTGTCAGACTATTTTTTTGGGCTCCAAAATCACTGCAGATGGAGACTGCAGCCATGAAATTAAAAGACGCTTGCTTCTTGGAAGAAAAGCTATGACCAACCCACACAACGTATTAAAAAGCAGAGACATTACTTTGCCATTAAAGGTCTGTCTAGTCAAAGCTATGGTTTTTCCAGTGGTCATGTATGGATGTGAGAGTTGAACCATGATGAAGGCTGAGTGCTGAAGAATTGATGCTTTTGAACTATGGTGTTGAAGAATACTCTTGGTAGTCCCTTGGACAGCAAGGAGATCCAACCAGTCCATCTTAAATGAAATCAATCCTGAATATTCATTGGAAGGACTGATGCTGAAGCTAAAACTCCAGAATTTTGGCTACCTGAGGCGAAGAGCTGACTCATTGAAAAAGACCCTGATGCAGGGAAAGATTGAAGGCAGGAGAGAAGAAGATGACAGAGAATGAGAAGGTTGGATGGCATCACTGACTCAATGGACATGGTTTAGAGCAGGCCACAAGATGGTGAAAGATAGGGAAGCCAGGCACACTGCATGCAGTCCAAGGGGTCGCAAAGATTTGGACATGACTGAGCGACTGAACAACAATTACATGTAGCAAAGGAATGAAAAAAGATGCTTTTAATATAAATTTTAAATGCTCTGTTGGACTTAGTGTCTAGTACTGAATTAATCTACTTTATAGCATATTTAATAGATATGAATAAAATTTATATAAATTTAATATTGGAATATGGTCAACATCATCCACAGTCCTTTGTGCTTATGCCTCAGATTTATTGGATCATTCATATATTTCAAAATGTCATTGTCAACTAAGTTCCTAGTTTAGCTGTTTATAAAGTAGAAAATAGTCAGGAAAGTTTATAAGAGACATACCACAAAAAAACCCTATCGACTGTTCATAATTCCAAAAGGAGACAGAATTTACCTAGTTCTTACAGTCATGATGTATGGGTTAGTGAAGAACTCTGATCCTTTTTTTTTCTTGCCCAGGATATAAGGTGAAATGTTAAATGTGAGGATTAATGTAGCCGAAAGATTTGTCTCGAGTACATTTTCCTAAGTCCTTTTTTTTTTTTCTAAGTCCTTTTTATCAGAAAAATGCCTTTCTGATTTGGAAGTGGGCAGCATTATTTTTTTGTAAGGTTAATGTCCTGATTTTAAATGTAGATGTGCCATTTTCTCCCAGTTGGTGAGATGTTCCATTAGTGTTAATATATATTTCCAAAGGGAATTAAGGGATTTATTTCTTTACCAAATTCTTTATTTATATTCACTATTGCTTGTATCTAAAATATGCCACTGGAAAAAGTATTTTACATGAAAAAATATATTGCATTATATGTATATACACATACATGCTTTGGTGTGTAAACATGTGATATTTATGATGTGGTCATGCAATAATGTTTAGTCAGTACTAGACATTGAACATGAAATATGACCTATGTTTCAGTAAGCTAAGTGTTGATAGGAACCATCTTTGTACCAAGACAGCATTCTGGCATGCATTTGTGCATGACAACACACCAAGAATTCTATTATATATGCCTTTTACACTGGGTTTTATAAGCAATAGCACCTGAAACTAATAATTGAAAATATGTAATTATTTCAAGGCTAGGGACCAATAAAATTTAAATATCATAGCAGTTGAGTGACCTACTTG